TTTGGAACTTGGTTGACCATGTACCTAATCGTAAGGTAGTTGGGTGCAAATGGATCTTCAAGAAGAAGGCCGACATGGATGGTAATGTACACACGTATAAGGCACGACTGGTTGCAAAGGGTTATTCTCAAACTCCAGGAGTTGATTATGATGAAACCTTTTCACCAATGGCCAAGATAAAGTCTATTAGTGTTCTGTTAGCCATTGCTGCATTTCATGACTATGAAATATGGCAAATGGATGTCAAAACCGCTTTTCTTAATGGAAAGTTGGCTGAAGATGATTACATGGTTCAGCCAGAGGGTTTTGTCAGTTCAGAGTACCCCATTAGAGTGTGTAAACTCGAGAAATCCGTTTATGGATTGAAACAGGCACCTCGCAGATGGAATCTTTGCTTTGATGAGAAAGTCAAGGAATTTGGCTTTTCAAGGAGTGAAGATGAATCTTGTATCTATATCAAGGCTAGTGGGAGCATAGTCAGCTTTTTGGTACTGTATGTGGATAACATACTACTCATAAGAAATGACATCCCAACCCTGCAGGAAGTAAAGTCCTGGCTTGGGAAGTGTTTCGCTATGAAGGACCATGGTAAAGTTGCCTATATCCTAGGGATAAGGATTTTGAGAAACATGAGTAAAAGACTAATTGGACTTAGTCAAAGCACCTATGTGGATAAAGTGTTGAAAAGATTCAACATGCATAACTCCAAGAAAGGTGAGTTACCCATTCAGAGTAACACCAGATTGAGTAAGACACAAAGCCCTGGTATTGAGGCTGAGATAGCAGAAATGAGTCGACTACCTTATGCTTCAGCTGTAGGATCGATCATGTATGCTATGACGTGTACTCGACTTGATGTAACTTTTGCTTTGAGCATGGTTAGCAGGTATCAAAGGAACCTTGGCAAGGCATACTGGACTGCGGTAAAGAATATCCTCAAGTACCTGCGAAGGACTAAGGACTGGGTCCTTACCCTTGGTGGGAGTGATGACTTGAGAGTTGTAGGGTATAGTGATGCTAGATTCCAGACTGATAGGGATAATTTCCGCTCTCAGTCGGGCTGGGTCTTTACCTTAAATGGAGGAGAAATCACTTGGAAGAGTTCCAAGCAGGAGACAGTGGCTTATTCCACTTGTGAATTAGAGTATATAGCAGCAAGCGAGGCAGCAAAGGAGGCTATATGGCTAAAGAACTTCATCGGATACCTTGGAGTTGTACTAGTTATAAAGGAGCCAATAGAGATTTTCTGTGACAACAATAGTGCGGTTGCCTTAGCCAAGGAACCAAGAGATCATGGGAGATCCAGACACATTGACAGAAAATATCAGTTCATCAAACATTGAATAGAAGAAGGAATCCTCGTGGCAAAGAGGGTATCATCGGATGAGAACCTAGCAAATCCCCTCACGAAGAGACTGAGTAGGGTTAAGCATCTCCAGCATGCTCGGAGCATAGGGCTGAAGGATGATATAAGTTTTAGTAGTTAGATAAATTATGAAATTTGTAAAGTGTAATTGACATTAGATGATGAATAAAAGGCGTTTTATTTATGAGTAAAGTGTTGCTATCTCTTGCCGGTCATTTACTATATTTCTTTTGCATGTTTTGACTTCCAGAATAATTATGTTTGGTATATCATATTATTCAAACCTCCACAGTCGGTCATATGTTGGAAGTAGGTATGAATCAAGACTGTCATGATTGGTTGCAGAGGTCTAAAGTGTTGGACATGGCTACAACAATCATGAGTGCTCATAAGTTCTGAGCATTGGACTCAACCCACGCTCACTGGAATCACTTCATGGAATTTTATCTCGAGTGATCGTGAGACGGTAATATCATATAAGTCTTCAAACCTAGAGATATGATTTGTTACTTACGAGTTGATTATGCATTGATTGTACGAAAACGCATTGGTAACTCAATGTTATAAAACGTGCCTTTGTGTATAATTCAATGAGTGGTAGAACAAACATATGAGTCGAAGTTTATCTGTTCCTTCTAGGATTAGAAGCGATATCTGGGTCTCTCGATGATTTTGTTTTGACCTATGTACCGGGCCCGGTCAGAACTAAATTGATGTGTTCAGTTAAGTTCCATGTCAAACAAATCGGAAATCGGGAAACAAATGCTGGACAATAAGTAAGACCATGTTCCATGTATTTGTCCATCTGATATCTTGAACAGAGGATTATATGATCACTTATCTGAAATGGCGCGTTCTAGTTCAACAGAGTTTAAAGAGCTACGATTGCTGATTGGTTCCTAAAGTCATACTTGCAACTATAGTTATTAGACTTATCCAAGTGGGAGACTATTGGATATAGTGTCTAAGTCCATAACTATATTTGGTATGTACTTGACCCGACCCGGCATGGTCCATTTGGGTTGCACTTCACCCGAACAATTTATGGATAATATTTTGAGAATAGTACAAGTTATGATTTATACAGTTATATATATATATATATATATATATATATATATTATATATATATAACTGTATAAGCACTTTCATGAATGTTATGATAATAGTGGTACCCTTAAACAATCACGTCCACTAATCATAATAATATAGGATTAAAGTGGTCTTCATTACAATCTACGTAACTAAACCCATCAATGGTCATGTATACATATAACTAATGACATAGATTAAACATGATGTGTGGTTTTAAAATCAAAATAGATTTCTAACGAGTTCCTATCTAGCTTGAAGTGAGATTAACCTTTAAATAAGTGCAACTAAAAATAGAATTAACCGAATTCTTAATTTTGTACAGACTAAACATAATTGTTCTTAAACAAAACATAAAACAACTAACTCTCACTAAAACAAATTATTACACCAATGTGTGCAGTATTATCATGAAAGACCTTAGCAGGCAGTCCCTTCGTGAGTGAATCCGCTATATGAAGTTTGTTCTTTATAAATAGTTATCTATTCGCACCATTTTGTTAACAACCAGAAACTTAATATCAATATGATTTGACTTGGTACAACTTTTGTTGTTGTTGGAATATAATATTGCTAACTAATTGTCACAACTTTACTGGTCTTTAAATACCAATAATATGCTACCTCGTTACAGCATTCCATAACCATATTCCATGATTTTATACCTCATAGCATGCTACACATTATGTGTAACACGCCGGCTTTCAGGTATTTTCAAATTCATATCTTAGTCTTAAATTATGTCATTTTTTGGTCCTTGGATTGGAAGGAAGTGGCCATGGGAAGCCCTAATGGTAAGTTTGTAATTTGGATGTGGGAGGAGTACGCTAAGCGTACATGTGGGTACACTAAGCATACATTATAAAGGTCAAGGTCAAAATTATATATTACATTCATGAAAGTGCAACAAAAGGCACACCCCTCATAATTCAACCATGGGACGTGTTTTGCAACAAAATCTCATATTAAGGGTCAAAATTATAAATTACATGTATAACGAATGTTACATATATTGTTCATTTGTTCCAATTATACAAATGGCATACAAAATTATTTTTTGTTCATTATAGCAGCATACATTCATTGTAGGGTTTTCTCCTTTTTTTTTTTTTTTTTTTTTTTTTTTTTTTTTTTTGTAGTTAACTATAAATTCAAGTAGTCACATTCGAGGGTTAAATACAACAATAAAGATAACCAATGGTTTATGCTTGTTCCATGAAAAGTCATATTATCTCCCTATAAAGAGCTTTGGTGGGCCATTCACCACTACACACCATAACACAATAACTCACCCAACATTTGAAAAACTTCAAGAACATGTTCATATGCCAAACCATCAATCTCCAGTCATCAGCAAATGATGCATGAACGTTTCATGATTCCTGACCCACTCAACTTTAAACATCGCATCCCTGCAAAACCACATTCTCCATACATGTTGCATCATACATCCCATAAAAGTCAAAGTCAAGGTCAAGGTTAAGAAACCTGTGTTGCTTAAAACATGTAAAGGTGATGTCAATTTCCTAATGTCAAGAAAACGAACTGTTGTATCTAAAGAAGTTATTGCAATAACCCATTTGTCATACAGATTAAAAGATAAGTAGTTCACTTCTTTATCATGAACAACGAATGTTTGGTGTTTATTTGTGCACAACTCCCAAATCATTAGCTTACAATCACCACCAACATATCCAAATACAAATCCATTCACCAAATGACATGATACATGTCCAACCACACTTCAATGATCATGTATTAATGTTAATCAACCATAAGTTCTTCAAATCAAATAATAATACGACATAAGTGGATCAAGGATGCCAGTTTACCTTGTATACATGTTTTACATCAAAAACTTAAAAAAAAATAAAGGCATCCCATAAATGATGAAAATCGCCTCAATGATCATGTATATAACAACTCAATGCTCAATACATATCTCATAAAAGTACAATGAAATCAAATCATTATACCGCATCCTGTAATTGAGGTGTCTGCATAAACAAGTACTTAAAAAATTCAACTTGAAAATCTACACTCATCTTCCATGTTGCAGATTTTGAAGTGTTACCCATGCCCTTCTTTTTAGTTCCTTTTATAACATAGATACAAAATAAAAGTATGAAAGAAACAAATAATATAAATTTAGCTATTAGAATGTATGTGTGGCTGAAACTATTTCATAAAGGGATAATTCATGTAATGTTTGCTACTACATGGACCATTTCTGCAATGTTTTCCTACTATAGGGACCATTCTGTAACAGTTTCTTGCCACAGGGACCATTTCTGTAAAAGTGCAAAATCTGCAAGAATACAAAGACATAATCTGCAACTTCTACTGCTGTTATAGAGATGCTTTAATCAGCTTCTACATATAGAAAAAGATTTTGCACTTGAAGGTATGCAATGTCGTAAACTTGACTCCTATATTGATTATACTTTTCAAGCAAACTGTCCAATGAAATTCACATTTATCCAAACAAAGAACAACGAGAAAGAACAAATCAAAGTTTCAATACACAATTTTATTTGATTTATCCTTTATTAATATCAGCCAAATATTATCAAAGACATCGTAAGTTGATCATATAACTACGAAAACTCCTTGTAACAAGAATGCCACCTTAACATAGTAATTCAAATCAACATAACAAGATCTTTTACTACACAATCTTTAAAACCAAACATTCAATTTATCCCTCATATGATTTTCACATCATTACAAAATGTTTATAACCAGAAACACCAACCCAACAACCTAAAACTACCACCATTTCTTCTCTTCGCGAAGTTTAAGATTTATTTTCTTCATCACCAGATTTAATACTAGGTTTGGTTGGTTGGTCAGGCATCATGACACGTCCACTCAGCGGGTCCACTGGACGCGTGTCGCGGGGCCCACCTTTCCGCCCCATTGCCACCATGGGTGGTGGCGGCAGTATCCCCGCCCTAAATAGCAAGCGTTGAACCGGATCCGAGGGTTGTGCACCAACCGATAGCCAGTATCTGTAACACAAAAAACCGATTGTCAATTTATTTGTTTATTTAGTTCTAGTACTATTTTCTTATATGGATCATTATCTTTTTGGTCAACCACAAAAACCAGTTTATTTTTGTTTTACGTATAAATAAATAAAGAAATTTTATCAACATTAAGAAAAATTAAAAGTAAGCAACTTACTTCACTCTTTCAAAATTAAGCCCCATTCGTTTCCCACCATCTTGGCCTGCATTAACAAGGCAATTAACCAACAATTAACAACAAAAATATATAATCCAGGTTTAATCAACAGGTTATCTATTTATCTAATTGTGATTCTTGGAGTCATAACAATTGCTTTGAAAATGCACATTCAATCGCATATCGATTATCAAGGAAAAGCTGTGAAAAGACTATGAGATTTCACTACTTCTAGATGCTTCCTGTTTCAGTCAATCGCAAATCCAAATACCACTAACTGAAAATAATCCCAACCGGAAGAAGAACCCAAATTTGGTCAAAATGTTGAAAGTTTCTCATATACTGGTCATTAGTAAATTTCCCAATTGATGTATACAAACATAAAGTTTCAATCTTGCCCTTGAGATTCGATAAGTAGTTGTTGAAAATCAATTGATAGGTTCTAATCAATACCGGAATCGTTACACGTTGGAACTAATCGAGATTATCAAAAAAATATAAGAAATCAAGAGAGAACGAAGAACCTGGCAAAGGATTAAAGTAACCCAAGACCTCTATATGCTTTCCGTCCCTCGGGGATCTGCTATCGGCTGCCATTACTCTGTAAAATGGCCTGTTCCGGCATCCCAACCTCGCCAATCTCAGCCTCACCACCATTTCTGCACGTTCTGTCTGTGGAAGAAGAAGTAAAATTAGGGTTTTGGGTTTTCCCTAGATGGAGATTTGTTTGCATGTCACCCCTTTTGATGGAAGAGTTACAAAAACTACCACAAACCTTCTAATATTCCAGTTTGATCCCCTGTTAGTTTTTCGTTTGTCCGATTTTGGCAAAAAGTTAGCCAAATACTTTTTGTTGTTGTTTATTTTGCTTGTTTGGTTGCTTTTTTCTTGTTTATGATATATGTTCCAATGGTACGGACGTAGATAGATTTTCGAGCATATTAAAAGATAGATTTGCCGGCATATTAATTTTTTTTTTTGTATGGATCAACGTTTTAAAAATCGGTTTTTTAGTTGAACCGGTATGTTGATTGGTTTTCGGTTCAATCGTTGAGTTAATCGGTTTTTATAATTTTCATCTTTTTTTTCTATTTTCCTATATATACATACATACATATATAAATCATAAATCTGTTATTTATAGAACATTAAAAATACATGTAAAAAAAAGTTGTGGATTAATCAAAATACATTAAAATAACATATAACTATAAATTTTAGTGTTTTAGATCAATACATATATGTCAAAAGGAAAATAAAATATAATACCAAAACAAAATATAGTTTTAGATAAATACAAACATATCAAAAAACTTTATACTAGTAACATCTACCATATGTTTTTATTTAGAGAAAATTAAATAAATTTAAAAAAAAAATCACCAACATTTATTATGCAAATGATTATTTTTCATGTATTTTTATTTAATTTAATCGGTTCAATCAATTTACTTTAACCAGTTTAACCGGGTTTTTCTAAAAACCAGCTGGTTTAATCCGGCTCGGAAATCGATGTAAAACCCGTGATGATTAAACTACTCATTCTCCCAGTTCTCGGTCCAATCAGTTCAACCAGTTTTTAAAACATTAATATTGATGTAAATGATACGAAAGTAACATATGATTGTCTCTTTTTGATAGCAAATCAAATCTTTGAGTTAGGGTTTACTGTTTGCAAATTAAAAAAAAAAAAAAACCTATAATTGAAAACGAGATAATATATACAACTTAATAATATTCCATTTACCAACAAATTTAGGCAATTTCAAAACCTCCTAGTTGGATTGTCGACTGACTATGTTCATTATACCGATGCTAAAGGGCAGTCACATGATAATATTTCTTCAGATTGGAAAACATTAATTGAGTGTATCGTGTTGTTGGGAGTAGAAGAAATCGAACTCATTTCTATTTAGGGTTTACAATATTTTTTTGGATTGAAAAAGAGGAACAAATAAACAAATAGGACTTTTAGAAGGGACCCTTATTTAATTATGTATTTATTTATTTATTTATTTATTTATTTTGGAAATGAAAAATAAATAAGCGGTACCCCCTTCAACAGTTACAGTTGAACCCGAGTTCGAGCTCCTTTACAAGACAAACTTGAAACACAAGGGATTTTCAGAGAAAAATTCCACCACATGGGGGCAGCAAAAGAGGTGTTTACAAGAATTGAACTCCAAACCTCACTCCATACATGAGAAAATTCCATGTGACCATACCCTATCCTCCTAACCGATGAAACTAAGTATCATTTAAGAGGTTCCCCCAATTAATAGTTAAAATAATTGCTTAGGGATCCACAATACAAGAAATATGACTCCACTGACTAAATAAGGCCAAAAACTCATAGTTTAATAAACAACCAGTGTTGATGTATTGTAACGACCTAGATTTTCTCGTCTAATTATCTATGGATTATCAAAGTTATCTATAAAAATTTCCGAAATTCTATTAACTCGTAAAATAAAACATTTTACACCCGAGACAATATTCAGATTTACATTAAAGCTATACATGTAAATCAGATAAGCAACAAGGCAAATAAAGCTCAAATGACAATACAGTCTAAGTCTTTGTGCTCATATCTTTTCACGTACAACAACTACTACCTGAACCTGCAAAATATGAAAAGTATCTACAACATCAGACCATAGGTCTGGTGTGGTCTGGTGATTTGGTGAGTTATATTTTATCTGATTTCATGTAATCATACTCTTCTTTTTATCTTCATTCCCTTACATGCTCTAACATTATTTTCTCTTATTTCCCATACTGTAAATCTCATCTCCCCTTTCTCTTAGCTTACATAGCTATTCTTTCTCTTTACATACTCTTCTATTATAATCTTATATTCTCATCTCATACTCCTTTTTAGTCTCATCTTAGGCTCGTCTCATACTCTATTCATATTGTATCATCAACTCTTATTATCTCATCTCGCATCCTTCTTATGCTCTATTCTTTATATTTACATATGATATACTCTTCTCACTTCATATTTTTTCTTGTCCCTTACTCTTATCTCATGTCATCTCTTTACTCTTCTCATTCCCTTATCATGTATCTTACTCTTAGCATGCATTCTCATACTCTTCTTATCATGTTATAGTGTATACTCATCTGAAATTAACCCTTTCCTTAGATCCTTTGTGGATCTTTCAACATTCTTCATCTCTTGAATCCCTCGCAGATTTTCTTACTCTTAATCCCTCACAGATTCTCTTTAAGTTATTAAAAAATTCTCTTACTTTGTTCCACTTATGAACCCCTTCCTCTATCTTCTCTAACCATACACAATCTCATTCCCGCAAGAATCATCTTTCTACACTTTTCTAATTCTTTTATGTGACTCATCACATAATACTTATCCCATGGACAATTGATGTGTGGAAAACAAACTAGTTTTAATCCTACTTTTTATTAATAAGTTAAGCACACAAACGCACTGAACCTGTCTTTTAGTGGTATAGTTGGATAAGTAGGGTATTGAACTCAGGGAACGGAAATTGATCTAATAACTAATTTTAACTAAGCAAATAATAAAATTAAAAGGGTTTTTCTCTAGTTTTACAAGACTAGAAACTTAAGCAAAGCAAATAAAACACTTAACTTACTAATGATTAAAACAAATGACAATTTCACCAAATTTATTAAAGGGTTTCTGTTTAGGTTCAACTAATTCACTCATATGGTTATTTTCAAGATAAATTAATTATTATTGGTTACCAACTATAGTGGTTAGGTTCATAATTATTACTCCTAACCCTTAGACAGTTAATTAATTCAAGCAGTGGCCAATTGTTTAAATTAACTAATTACCTAGTTCAATTATTTGGATTAAATAAGATTTGTAATTGGTTAATCAAGTTGATATTTCAATTAACCTCTTGTTTGTTGGTTCCTCAAACAAGCTCACACATTAACTTACCTATTTTCTTATTAATCTTAATTTCATATTCATTACTCTTAAGCATATGATCAAGTGTTCACAATACATATGAGGTTAATAATCAAGAGATGTTCATGCAACTTAATTACCTTCCAATTAACAGAAAATAGTTGCCATCAATGCATAAGGTTCTTTAACAAACTTAATTTAATAAAATCACCAAATCATAATCAATCAAGAAGTATATTATAACCATAGGAGCAAATTAGTCTTCCCAAACAGAAACTAAACGAATTTAGCTAATAGTCATGATAAAAACGAACTCAATAACAGTTTTAATAAAGCTAAACATCTTAAATCCTAAAGCTAAGTGGAATGATTAACCTAATAGCCTTGATTCTTCCAAGGATTGAAGATTAGGGTTCTACAGCTCCTCCATGGATTCTTTGTCGCAGGTCCAACTCTTAAAATTGCCAAAAGTCTTTTCCAATCGGATAATGAATTAGTATTTATAATTTTCCAAAAACAGGTTGTACTCGGTGAGTAGCAGACCCAACTCGCCGAGTAGGTGTGAGTTATCCGTCTCAAATCAGGAGTCTTGACTTATCCTCTGGAATCTTCTCATGTACTCGCCGAGTAGGCTCGAGAACTCGCCGAGTAGGTCTTCTTTTGTCCTTCATTCTTCACTCTTTGATCTTTAATTGCTTCCCTTTGTTCCTTTTCACCCCCAAGCATGTCTTAAGGACTGAAAACAAAATTTAAGCTTTATTAAGTACCTTTTGTCCACATTATACACAAAATTAGTTAAAAATGAATAAAAATATATGCTAAATAACTAACTAATTATGCACATATCAAAATACCCCACACCTAACTTTTGCTTGCCCCAAGCAAAACTGAATTTTAAAACATTAGAATCATATATAACAACTCCAATCTAGCCCAACCATTATGCCAAGACCGTAACGCATGCATTTGTGTCTAAAATTGTCCTAAATACCCCCCCCCCCCCAATACTCCAAATACTTACAATCCTCATAAACATTCGCCCACTCACCCTGAACTATGCTCATTTTATGCAACCCTCCGAATCCATCCGCAGAAAACCTCTTACCCTCAAGGTATTTTTAGTTGAGCAACCCAAGCATACATAAACTAGACAATTACAATTTATGATACCACTATGGAGCTCTTTTGAATTCTTCACTTCCTTGATAATTTGATCTTTGATCTCTTTGAATTCACCACCTTGTATTGATTGATTTTTGGTATCTTCAACTTTTTGAATTTCTTGGAATTTTGATCTTTTGATCTTCACTTTATTTGCTCCAAAATTCTTACAACTTTTCTTGCAATTCTCTCTTTTTTTTAACATGTATTTCTCACCTTTTTCACTCAAAATCCTACATGCATAAGCAGGGGCGCTCAACCTCAACCTTTATTGGCTAACGATAATAATTTTCCTGGATACATTTCAGGTTTAGGCTGCTAAACGTATTGCATCCCTCAGGCTGAGCAAGGTCGTGTTTTTGTCCCATGATTTCACTGGAATAAGGAAGCCACAAATGCACTAGAACGTATATAGGCTCAACTAAACATTTGGGTTTTCATGCAATTATCAACACAATTCTAACATAGAATCCTAATTGCTTTTACCAAAATTTTCTAAATTAATTCCTAAGTAATTTCCTTTTTGGCATGCAACAATGTAAAATTTTAAAAATTAACCTAAATTAAGATTCTAAATTTTCTAATTTGTGACCAACCCCCCTACCCCACACTTATTTTAATGCAATGCCCTCATTGTATAAAAATGCAAATATAGAGAGAATTGGAACAAACTCCCCTGGGGTAGCAGTCGATAGGGTTGATTCTCTTCTTTTAGCTCCATCTTCAATAGACTTTAGACATGGGAACAGCTCATCCATGTCTTGGGTGTCAAATGTCTCATGTGGTTGACAACTTCAAAATGTCACGGAACAGACTTCTTAGAAGATTTCCAGTAAAAACTCTTCATAACAAGTGGATAAATGCTGTAGTGAAAGTGCTCAAAACAACTCTGGGACTTGAAAATTGTACATCTACTCGGCGAGTAGTGCCGTGTACTCGGCGAGTAGCTCTCAGCCTGGAACCATTCGTGTAATACTCCCATGTACTCACCGAGTAGGTTTTGTGCACTCGGCGAATAAGCACTGTAATTCTAAAAATAATTTGTTTCTTCTTCCTTTGACCCTGGGTTTTGAAATTTGACACTTTATTGACCCTTTCTCTAAGTCCTTCAGCAGCAATAATCTTCACAACTCTCGACTCTAATGGACTCGATCCTAAGGACAAGACTTTGTAATTTTTTTTTCTTGAACCTCTCTCATCCCTTACTTGACCCTCAATAATCTAGTATGCTTCCTAATCTTCCATACCTGAAAACAAACCACTAAAAGTGAAAGTACCAATCATACCAACCAAAAATAAAAATTATCCAAGTTTATAATCATCCAAACAAAACATCATAAAACATGAAAAAAACAAAGTCTTCATTCTTCTTCATCTTCCATGTCCTCCCCTCCTGCTCCACTTCCTCCTCCACCATCACCTCTCATCATCCTCTCTTCCTAATTCATAATGTACGGGTATCTCGGGTCGGGTCTTGGAGCAATATGCATTTGCTCAAAAAGATACTCGAACGATTGGTTATTATAGTTAACCCCTCGCCCGATATCATCTAGGTAGTGCCGGTACTCTACTTGGTTCCATCCATCATTATCTTCCACCACCGGAATAACCGGTGGGTCTTCCCGTACCCTTTCGCTTCGTTGCCGAACCCGCCTTCCCGGCTCCTCGGGGATTGCCGGCTCGTCCGCGTGTGGAATGGTGAAAGAGTCGCCAAACTTCTCAACGATTCGGGCCCTCCTATATAGAGCGGTGTTGAACGGTGGAGGGTAAATAATCGTGAGTGCCCTCGCCTCGGGTAGATCTAACACTCCAAATGACCTGGCCAGCCTCGTAACAAACATGCCTCCATTTATTTTGGAGTTGACTTTCTCCTTGACCGCCCCTTCAGCTAAAAACCTGGCAATGTAATAAGGAAGGTTGCAGAAAGAATCTGGAGTAATAATACTCCAAAGATAGAAAATATCAAGGGTTGGGACTTTGTCCCAATCCTTTCGCATGTTAATCGTACTGGCCACAAGGCGGTGAATCAGGCGATGGATTGGTGAGCGGATATGCCCCTCCTGAGCAGTAGAGGGAATGTACACCCGGTTGGCAATTGTGTTCCACCAGGTAGAAGCCACCACCCCTCCAGGAAGATCCTTGTGGTAGTG